ATTACTATGTCTGAAAAGCGTAAAACCAACCAACAAGATCTTTCAACTAATGTATCTCAAAAAACTTTGCGACGTAGCATAGCTACAGAATTAGAAACAATGCTTGATATTTCTGATCGAGATTCAGCTTCAGAATCGGATAATAAATCTGATGAATCTGATATGAATTTTAATATACAAGACAGTAATAACCACAATGAAAATAATTCTAATGCAAACAATTTATATTTGAATGAATTCATCATAAGTAATTTAAACTATGCCAATACTTTTGACGATACTTTTGATTTAAATCAGTCAAGTGAAAGTTGTTTAACAAAAATGGATGAGTTAGAATGTAATAACTTTAACCAAAATAACTCCATTAGTGCTAATACATCTAATAATGATCAGAACTTCACTGAAAAGCTTAAGAATTGGGCTATTAAATATAAAATAAAACAAAATGCTTTGGATGCTCTTCTTGAAATTCTACGAATGTAAACAATTGGTAAAAATCTTCCTAAAGTGTCTAGGACATTTTTAAAGACTCCAAGAAATACCTTAATATACAATGTGAATCCAGGGAAGTATTGTCATTTTGGTTTGAAAATTGGACTCAATAAAGTGCTAAATATATTAAAAAATGATGATTTACTTGCAAGTTTGAATTTTAAAATTGGTCTTAAGATATCAACAGATGGATTGCCCTTGTCAGAAAGTAGTAGTAGTCAATTATGGCCTATACTGGGTTGTATTATTCAAATGCCACATGTATTTGTGATTGGAGTTTATCATGGCCTTAGTAAACCAAATGATGCTAATACATTTCTACAAAACTTTGTTGATGAAATGATTGACTTAACTTCTAATGGTTTTTACTTTAATAATGTTTATTACAAAGTAAATGTACATTGTATTGTTTGTGATGCACCAGCAAAATTGTTTATCACCAAAACAAAAGGACATAATGGGTAAAATAGTTGTTCTAAATGTTGTCAAGAAGGAGAATTTTCAAGCAATCGTATATGTTTCCCTGAAGTTCAAAATATTATTTTAAAAACTGATGATGGATTCTTAAGACAAGAATATGATGATTATCATCWAGGTATCCCTATTCTTTTAAATATTCCCAATTTTAAACCAATATCRCAGATACCATTTGACTATATGCACTTAGTTTGCATTGGTTTGTATTGAAAGTTATAAACATGTGGTTGAATGGAAAACCAGAATGCCCGATAGTACGTTTACAACACTGTAAAATTGTTACCTTTAACAACAATTTGATAAATTTGAGAC